ATAAGAGGGAGCTGAACACGTGAACTGGTTTGCTGCTGTTTCATTGAACTGGAGAGATGGTGAACATGAACTGGGCTGCTTGTTTGTTGATGTGCTGGAGGCTTGGTTATATTCCAACAATGACCAAGGCTCACACACTCCCAACCCCCTCCTACCCCTGAAAGGAAAATGTAATAGAAAACTAGAAACAAAATAAAAGAAAAGAAATAGGTATTGATGCCGAAAATGCACAACATGAAGATTAGTAGAGGTTCATGTTCAAGTTCTTCAATCAATACCTGTGAAAGATCAAGAGAATGTTGAATCTATGGATTTGCAAGAGATAACTTGACGAATTGAAACATCTTAGTACTAAGAGAAAAAGAAAGCAAAAGTGATTCTCGTAGTAGTGTTGAGCGAAATGGGAAATTAAGAATTCTTGATTGTACCTTTGACTTTGGAATAGGCATTTGTATAATAATAAGAATGTTGACGCTTTAATAACATTTCACGTTTCAAAATAAAGGTTAAAGTGATTTTAGACGCTGAGTTTTTTCGCGTGTTCTTTACCCAAAATAAGCTTCCTTCAACTACTTTTCAATTTTCTCTTATCCTATCTCATCATTTAGCCATTGTTTGAGCTCCATTATTTAAAAAAAAAATTTGATTTTGGAATAGTATTTTTTGAAGAACGTGTTGTTAAAAAGTAAGATTTATTTATGTGTAATTTAATTTTATTGATAAATTGTGTGGCTGATAAAACGAGAGAAATGAATTAAAATTTAATGATGGTAAAACAGGGGCATAATTTCCTTGTCACACGCCAAAGCATTCTTTGAACGAGCATTCTATCTTTCTGGGTTGCAAGCCCAAGGTAATATCTTTTGTACCGAGCAGAGTAAATCAATAGCACAGAGGCTCTGCAACAAGAGAAACAAAAACAATTGTAAAATGATACCGAGAGATTATACTCCTGTTTGGCCCTCATTAAATTATAATTCGTTTTTCTTTTTCTTTTTATTAACCATATATTTTCTTATAAAATAATATTACAAGTAAATCCAAAAAAAATTCCTTCTTTTTTAATTACACATTCTCCTAAGAATTATTATTTCTCTCCTTATAATATGAAATAATGAGACCAAATGGACGCTAATAGTAACTTTGCTTTCTGGTTAAGAAGCAGTTCAAGCTTCATTTTCCATGGTATATGAACAATAAGGGTCCGTTTAATTGCAAGGGTGAAAAATTGGTGGAAAGAAAATGATTTATAGGGAAAGTAATTGCCTAAAAATTGTTTTGCAAGAAATTGTTAATTAAGTGTATTTGATTGTATAATTTTCCACCCAAAAAATTTTAAAATTTTCTATTCGTTTGACTTTGTTTTACATGAAAATTGTCCATTAAAGTGATATTTTTTTCCACAATTGGTTATAAAATTTGTTTCCATTGCCAAAAAGTTAAAAAAAAATAAAATAAAAAAAAATTGTTTCCTAAANGGGTGGAAAATGGGTAGAAAGAAAATGAATTACAAGGATAGTAATTGCCCAGAAATTATTTTACATGGAATTGTTAAATAAGTGTATTTGATTGGTATAATTTTTCACCCGAAAAATTTTAAAATTTTGTGTTTGTTTGGCTTTGTTTTACATGGAAATTGTCCTTATAATTTTTTCCACAATTGGTTATAAAACTTGTTTCCATTGCCAAAAAGTTAAAAAAAAAAAAACAAAAAAAAAAAATTGTTTCCAAAAAATCATTTTTTTAATCAAAATTTAGTGTTCGTTTGACTTTATTTTTACATAAGAATTGTCCATTAAAGCGAAATTTTTTTAACAATTTGTTATGACATTTTTCAACAAAAACTCGGAAAATAGGCGCGAGGGGGGTGGGGAGGGAAAACATTTTCCGTGAAAATTTTCGCATATCAAATAGTTAAAAATGTGAAAAATAAAAAATATTTTTTTAGTTCCATGAAAAATTCCGCCAATCAAACAGTACCTAATACGTTAAAAATGAGTAGTTCAAAATAGTCTGCGTCGGACATCAGAGTAAGGCACCTCACAACGTAGAAATAAATCCAACCTGGCGTTATCCATTTTCAATGGGCTATCTTGACACCCTTCATTCTTCTCAAAAGGCTTAACTGTACGAACCGTACCTTTTTACAGTTTAAGCCGAGTTACGTTCTCATTCTTCTACACATTTTTAATCATACATTTTTTAATAAAATAATATTTTTCATCACATCAATAATTTTTTCTTTCTTTTCAACCACATATTCATTATCACATTACAAAAAAAATACATCATCTCCCAAAAAATGTACATCAACACACTCTAACCATCTCTCTACAGTGCACCTAATTCTAATGGCAATTAATCTACTTCTAATGGAAACAGTCCTATCCTCCATTAATTTTCCACTGCAAGAGAAAATATAGCTGGATCCAGCTGTCCCCATACCTTCGTTTGTAGAGTTAAAAATCAATTTTTTTAATAAGAACAATGCTATATTTATCGAAAATTGTTGACAAACGCTCTGATCGAACACTCACACTAAGGGAGGGCCCACATTTTTTTAGAATTTTTTATTCACACAGGACCCACATTTATGTGAGAGGTTGTCAAACTCGTTGTCATCAATTTTGGATACAAATGTAAAAACCCTTTTAATAAACATCTATACAGGTTGATAAAATTAATTTGAGTAAATGAGTTTTAGAAAAAGAGGATCAGACTTCGTAAAAATCTTATGAATTATCTCGAAATTTTCACGTACGACCCTAATAGAGATACACAACCTGATATAGATACACATGCAGGTCACTTATATTAGTCTAGTACAATTAGCATTTTTAATTATTTGATGTCACGTGAACCGCCTCAAATATATTTATGTATAGCATGTGATCACCGACAAGCGCCAATGGGGGTAAATGTCAAACGGTGGAATTTGTTGACTAATCACTTTGATTTCATTACCTTAGTTAAATGTAACAATAAATCGTTGACAAGAGAAAATAAGTAGAACAAATTAAAGATTATGTTGGTCGAGTCGAATCATGGATTAAATCGAAGGGCCATTTTTAACAAAATTAATGTTGTTCAACACACCAGTCTAAGTGACAACAAATACCAGTCACTAGACAAGAATATAAACCTCGACCATCGCTTAAGGGCCTGTTTGGTACGATTCAAAATCCAATTAAAATTGAAAATATAGCAGTTATTGAGTCTCACTCATCTAATAAAAGTCAACAATAAAGACTAATTTTTCAATTTTAATTCGATTTTAATCTCTACCAAACACCCTCTAAAAATGGTTTTAAGTGCAAGAAGACCCAAAATAATAAGGAATGCACATTCCTTATCCTATTGCATGGTCTCGCTCACTCCCCCACGTTCCCATGCCCCCTTCTTCTTTGTCCTTCCATTGTACTTAACCCTATTTCAACCCCTTCATCCCTCTCTAGAACTCACTGCCTGGAGAACTCACCTCCCTATAACAGTTAAGTCAGTGTGATAAGAAATGGATGTATATGGAGTAACTGGAATGGATGATCTTTTAGACTTGTCTAGTGATGAGATTTTCGCTTCCTCCACAGCCACCCCCACCACTCATTCAGACCTTCACTGCCACGCCTCCTCCACCGCCGTCGCTGCCACGGCCACCGGTTGCTTTGATGCACCTACTGCTGACTACTACAATTTCCCCGATGTCTTCTGTGTTCATGTAATAAACAAACAAGATTTCACTAAATATGGAATTACTAGCATTATCTGCAAGCCTGCAAATGTATATTGATTCTCAGTTTTCACTCTATATAGAGCTGATTTTTTATTTATTTGTTTGTCTAGAGCGATGACGCGGCTGAGCTAGAATGGCTTTCGAACTATATGGACGATTCAATCACCGATTGTCCGGCGAATTCCATTACCAGCGCCGCTGCAGCATTTCACGGTAGCTCTCGGAGAAGAAATGGCGCTGCTGCCGGCACCTACACATGGAGTTCTACATCACCACCAAATGACAATGTAAACCAGAGAGAGAGTTCGATTACTAGCGGTTACGAGAATGCTGAAAAGGAGCGTAGATGCACGCACTGCTCATCGGAAAAGACACCGCAGTGGAGGACCGGCCCGATGGGCCCGAAGACGTTGTGCAATGCCTGTGGTGTTCGGTACAAGTCGGGCCGTCTCGTGCCCGAATATCGGCCAGCTGCAAGCCCGACAT